TGCAAACTCCTTTTCAGTATATTGTAGACATCAGTAGGCTAAGTTCCCATTAGTTGTCTTATATATGATAGAACTTCAGCTTATCAAAGAAAATATTTAATTTATAAGTATTTATTGTAATTGCTCTATTGGTTAAACAAACATTGTGTTTTGATTTTGTTCAAAAATTAGTTATAAAGCTTCTCTTAAGATAGAAGTGAATTCTTTTTATAAACGCTGTTTGCACCATTTCCTGTAACATTTTCACAATAAAACAGGATTTGTTTTAGATCATTATCAAAATATAAATTTAAACTGAGGATGTAGTTTATTTCGTCTGAAAGCTGTCTTTCTGAACCGTCCGGATACTAGCAAGCCTGGGTGCTCTACAGTAATATTAACTGGAGAACAGACTTGCTTAAACACAGGGCACACTTCTGGTTCTGCCTGGGCCATCCTTATTAAGAAGAAGGCATGGGTTTGGAGCTTATTTGGAGGGGATTTGGGGTTGATTGTACACATTTGTAGAAGTGGGTGCTGACCTGTTGATTTAGGTTGTGGGGTCCCCTCCTGTGTGTCAGTGGAGGGAGGAGTGGCTGCAGAGTCTCAGCATCAGAGACTGACCCTCTGTCCCTGGGTTGTGGTGCACTGTCCCTGGGAAGCCCCTGAAGAGCTCTGGCCATAACTTCCTCACTTGTTTTGACTGCATGGTTCCAGAGAAATGTGATTTCAAAGCACATTTCCTGTGCTGGAATCTTAGGAGTCTAGGGATATTAGAAAGTGATGGCAAACCAGTGGCATGTGCAGGGGATCTAAACAGATGACCCTGGGGAGGGAGCCTGAGAAGGCTGAGTACCAGTAAGCAGAGGGCTCTGGGAAGAGTGTCAGATTCCTCTGCCTTCCTGGGGCTCTGGCATCCTTGAAAGAGTTATCCATGTTTAGGGTTTTGGGTCCAGGAAGAGAGGACTTGCAGGGACTGCCAGAGGCCACGGCCATGGTGTCCATGTGGCTGTGGTCCCCCAGGCCCCTCCTTGGTTGGGAATATGAGGCTGCTTGTTTCTTGAAGCTGCCTATTGATAGCGGACAGACTGCAGGCTTCATTGGGAATGGCCAAGTGTGCTGAGGTTCACCCAGTTCATGGTTATGTCTATGAGTTGATCTCAGTCTCCCCTCTGAAATCAGTAGTTCTCTATGTAGTTAGCAACACCAATAGGCATAAATGTGTTATGGGGGAAAATTGTTTAGCACTTCTGTGATTTCCCAAAAGTTTTTCCTGAGGTTGATTCATTTTCACTCTGGGAAAGGAAGAAGGCCCCTTGGGCATCCCCTTTTACCATTTGCTGTTCTCTTATTGCAAAGACTAGAGGCTAGACTGTTTGTGTCACCCCACCTGTTATCAGACCACTAATGGATAACACCCCAGCTGTTATCAGACCATAGATGACACCACAGCCATGATCAGATCTTGGCAGTGGCGGAGGCTGCAGGTGGAAGCGGCTGGCATTAACAGCCCCATGCACTGCTCCTTTGCACTTTTGCACCTGGCCTTGACACCATGTTGGGTGCCCTGCCCACATGTTATCATTCTCTGAAAAACCACCTCTAGGAGCACAGGAGAGAACCAGAATGAAGATCCTGTTTTAATTCTCCAGTCATATTCTGCATTGGTGATCTTTGAAAGTTTTGCTTGTTTGTGTCGTTACTTCAGTCACCTAGATGTTGTTACGTGTGAGATGTGTTGGCACATGACTGGGCTCCAGTCTTAGGACGACTTGTGACCTTTCTGAGCTCCGTTTTCCGGTGCCACCTGGCCACTTAGATTGTGAGGGCTTTATAAACCGTAAAGCCGTTTACATGGTGGTGGAGAGTGTAGTGAGTTCTTGCAGGATTGGGTTGAGAGAGGTCATAAAACTCTAGGGCCAAGGCTCGGTGGGACAGAACCTGTGTGATGAAGTAATTGTCCATGTGTAAGCCATACCAAAATATGACTTCGAGCAGTTGATGAAATAGAAGAAATGAAAATCCATTGATCTAGATTTTAGGGACATTCTCCTTTGAATGCATCGGGGGCTGTGGTATTGGACCAGGTGGAAAATGAAATCAAAACATAATATATGGCCAGGACTGAGCAATATTTATGCAATCATAAGAATTTAATAATTTTCCTGTGCCACATCTCTGAGAATGTTCTTTTCTTGTTCATAAAACTTTGGCATCCTATCATTACAGTCACCTTCAATCCCTCAGCTAGACAGTCAGGGTTCCCTGCTAGGTCTCTCTCATTCTAGAAGCTGGACTCTGACTGTCTCACTGTCTCTGAGTATGAACATCACCCGCTGAAATGTCGGTGTGTAATAGTGTCAAGATAGATGTGTCTCAGGTGTCTGGATCTTGGTAGAAAGGTGGTCCGAGTGTGTCTTACGGTGCGGCGTCCTCACTGTGTGTGATGGGTCCTTGGGTGACTTAGAAAGGATGCTGGCCTTGCTCCTTGTCCCGGAGCGTGTGTGCTCTCCTCCTCTGAGGGCAGGCAGCAGTTTGTATCTCACAAATTGAGGCATTATCGCTATCTTATATTCAGTTTATTTTTTTTTACTTGTTTCTCATTCCCCAGAAAGATTGCAGTCACTTTTAAGGTAGAGGCGATTTCTTACTCTGTTTTTAATCTGTTCCCAGGGTCTGAATAAATGGTTGGAGTTAATTTGTTGAGTCAGTGGCTATTTTTCCTCCAGAAAGAACTGTGGCTAATCCCTAAAGGCTATGAAAAACCCACTTAGGGGTGCACACTGGGAAAAGAGTCTGCTAGCAGTGCAGATGCTAGCTTGCTTTGACTTCAGAGCAGGATAGATAAACTAAACAGTAAAACCTGTAGTAAGAAGCGCAGGCCCCGCTCAGGGCTGGAGGGTCTTCAGTCCTCCGTAGGGCATTGTGTAAATGCTGTTGACAGCCAGCAGTGTTCTCTGCCAGGGTTACTGTGCCCTTCCAGCTCTGGATTAGTCATTTCTCACGTTAATGATGATGATTGCCTTTATTTTTTGTTTGCTTGCTTTTTTTCTCTGTACCTACCACCAACTTATTCCTGGCTTATGTTAATTCCTCTCAATATATTTAGATATGTTAGGTACTTTTATTAATATTTTAGAAGTCATTCTGGAGCCTTCTGGGTTTCATCTCGAGCCCTGCTGTGTGGTTTTGGGGTCTCCCTTGGCCGTTGTCCTGCTGCAGTCTACCTCCTCTGTGTTGGTGTCTCCCCGTCTTGTTGCTCTCGTCCCTCATTTCTAGGGATGTCCCAGGGGGAGAGAACATGGAAGGCAGTGAATCCACGTTCATACTTAATTATGACTTGGGTGGAGATGGAATTGTAGGGAGTTATTTTCATCCACTGTTTCACAGTTCAGTGTTGTTGAGAAGTCCCAGGCCATTTATTTGAAATGTGTTTCTCCATCAGAGTTTTTAGTGTCTTTGTGTCTAGAACTCTGACATGTTTGGTTTGGGTCTCTCTGCGTCCCTCGTGCTGGCACTTGGGGCACTTTCTGTCTGGGGACTCACGTCTTTCAGTCTGCTGAGTTTGGTGATCAGGTCTTTGATTTCTATTTATTTTGTTTGTTTTCTGTATCTGGAAATTCTTTCCTGATGTGGGACTGCTTGCCCTGGTCTTCTGATTTTTCTCTTTCTTTCCCATTAATCTGAGAGCATTCAGAACTGCATTTTCCAGATTTCCTGTTGACTTTTTCAATTTTGCTGTCATCATTTTAATTTCCAAAAGCTCTATTATTTTTGTCCTGAATGTTCTTATTTTAAAAGCATCCTTTTCTTTTTTCATGGACGCAATGTCTTCCTTTTCTCAGGATTAATTACAATTCTTCTGAATATTTTTCTGCTCCCTGGAGAGTAACTATCATATCTTTTCCCTTCATATCGCTGATCTTGTGTTCTCCGCCATTCTTGTTAGGCTTTTCTTTTCAACGTTTGGTGATCCGTCTGTGTCTTCTCATAATTAAGATTGGCGCTCTAAAACACTTGAGTGGAAGTGTTGACCGTGAGTTGAGACTTGGTGACTGTTGTTTTGTTGGGGAGCTCCTGGTGTTATATTCTTTGGTCGTTTTTCTCTGGGTCAGATTCCCTAGGGAGAAGAGAGGGCTCCTGCAGTTTCCTACCCTGAAGGGTGTAATCCTTCCTGTCACTGCTCTGGGTTCTGGTGGACAGAGGGGACTTGGGGTGCAGGGAGGGTTGGTCGGCGTCCTCTACGCCCTGTTTTCAGTGCAAGGACCCTTGCTCCCTGTCACTGCTGTACCCCCAGCCAGGGACTTAATGGTCTGCAGATGAGCGCCTTGCTGCCTCGCATACCTTCACCCAGCTGTGTTTGTGGTCCCACCGTCCAGGGGATTTGAGTCGGATTTGCCCGCCCAGTCGTGACTGCTCCTCATCTGCTTTTCAGCTTCCAAAGTTGGTTCTGATCGTCTCTTTTTCTGTTCTTTTTGTTCTCGTGAGTTTACGCCTTCTAAAGAGTCATAGTAACTGCATTATAATTTGAGTTGAAAGGAGAGGGTCTGCAGGTGTGCTCTGTGTCCACTCTTCACCTGAAGGGAAACGGGACTCGTATTTTTTCACGTGTCTGTCGTGATGCTACTTCAGTAGAAAACCTTACTAACCAAATAGCCACGTTTTATAATTCTCTTTGTTTTATGCAAAATGTAAGGCTTCATGACATCTGTTTTTCTCACTGCCCAAAGAAGCCTGGACTTGTGGGTTTGTGGCTCTGCTGTGCACAGGTCCTGGCATCTGGGTGCTGGAGAGGATGGGGTTAGTGTGCTGCTGTACAGCAGAGCAGCTTTCAAGGTGGGTACTTCTCCCTGCTAGATTCGTGGTGTGAACAGATGCATTCTGGGGTTTGTCTGTTTGGTTTTCATAGAGGTGGTACACAAGGAGGTCTTTCTCACTCAAATTTTCTGTGTTCATTATTTAGCAGTTTTCCTTCCTTCTGTAAGATTTAGAATTATTTCTCTTGTATTGTGTGTCTCCAGGTTGCCTGAAGCTCAGCAGAGAGTTGGAGGCTGCTTTTTAAATCTGATGCCACAAATGAAAACCTTATACCTTGCGTATTGTGCCAATCACCCATCTGCAGTGAACGTTCTCACGGAGCACAGGTGCGTTCACTCGTGAGAGTGGTCTTCACGGAAAGGAGGGGGCTTCTTGGGGCACCCTCCAGAACAGCTCATTTCTGTGAATAGTCCGTGAAATACAATGCTGATATTCACTTGTTTATTCAGTGATGATCATTTTATTTTAATTATCCCTCAAAATTAGTGCCTGGCAAGTCCTGGTAGGAACTTTTTGAAATGCCGGTGAGCATTTTTGTAATAGAAAAGGATGCTTTTTGAAGCCTAGAGCCCTTTGGACAGTGGGTTGAAGGAGCTGGTAAGTGTTCTGGAACGTAGCTGCAAGCTAAATCTGGGCTACAGAGTCATATTTCTCTCAGTTCATAAAACTGGAAGTACATGATACTGAGTTAGATTTGCTGTAAGAGAAAATGCCATTTAAAACTAGGACTGGATTTTATAGGCACTTCTAGTATAGATTTTATAGTATTAAATTGGAGACCGTTCACTTTAGCTTTTCAACCTGAAATTCACAAAATTAAAACAAGTGAAGCAGAATGTACAGATTTTCTGCTAGTTCGGTGAGACAAGGCCACATCTGTTTCCTGAGACCTGGAAGAAGACGGAGGGGCTTTGTTGTTAGCAGGGACTAGCTCTGCTCCGTGGCTGCAGACGTTAGAGAGGAAAGAGCTCCATTTTTGCTTCTAAAGGAGGTGCAGATTTTTATTAATAAGTGTTTTAGAAAAATGCTTTTGAAAATAGTTCAAAAAATTTTGAAACCATAAATGGAGAAACTGTTTTGGTAGCATCAAGATAAATGCCACCGTGCTTCTAATTTAAATATTTAACTTCAACTTACTCTTAACTAAATATTTTAACTTAAAACTTAGAAACCCTTTTGGTAAGCAAGCATTGCTGAGCTGTTTATAAATCAAGTTGAGGTTCCAGTGTAGCACCCTGTGGGTGTGGCTGGATCCTGTGGAGGTGGTGGCGGGGCCTTTGGATCAGTCAGACCTGGTTTGAGCCCCAACGGCCGCTCTCAAGCTGGTGGGCCTGGGTAAGTTACTTCACTTCTCTGGGTTTCAGGTCCCTTCTCTGAAAGTGCCTGCTCATAGGGTTATTGTAAGCACTGAGCAAAACAGATAAACTGGTCAGAACCCAGCGAAGATGCTAAATGCTCGTTGATTTGTTCTCTTATCTTCTCTCCCCCCCAAAAAACCCTGGGCATTTTCTGTTTCTCAATGCTCTTAAATGCTACGGGATTAAAATCTTGTGAACCTCTGTTTGTATTAAGGCATCTCCAGTCCTTAGATGAAGCAGCAATCTTTGACGTGGTGATGAAGAGGGGAGATTAGGATACACTGTGTCCACAGCAGTGAAAAACCCAAAGGACCTCTCCCCCTCCCAGCCCTCTCTCTGGTTAGGTCTTCCTCCTTTTTGCCTTTCTGGGAGGTGGGCAACATGAGCATGTACCTTCCTAAAACCATGAACTGGGTATTCGTTGTGTTCTTTGCCATCTGCTCCTGGGAATTATGAATTCAATGAAATTTGCACAGAAGTGAAATGCAAGGATTAAATTTGTGTCTCTGAAAATTCTTCAGGAATTATTGGTGCAGCGATGGGAGAGAGAAACAGAAAGCAGACAGAATGTTAGGGTAAAATTGTAAATCTTTTTTATTTGCTTTCTCTCCCTCCCCCTTTTTGGGGGAGTTGATCCTCTAGGATTGGGTTGGAAGTGTGGAAAGAGAGTAGGGTGGACAATTTTGAGGAAAGCTTCTGTTTTTCCCATGGAAGTGAAAATGTGTCCTGAAGATGACATTTAAAGCAATTGCGACTGTTCAAGTTGCCTAAAATGTTAGGACTTTCAAGGGCAGTGCTTGCAAGTGTGTGCTGTTTATCTTCTCTTCCGTACTGCTGCTTTAATGACTGTTTGTGTCACAGCAGCATTTCCTGAAATAACGGGAAGAATACAGTTCAGTTTCTAAGTGGGCAACGTCTGGGCCTCCTCCACGTGGCGTGGGGCAGAGATGGCAGGTGGGTGGACTGCGGTCATGCTCTGGAGCGTGAGTCTAGAGAGAGGAGAGTGCTCCAGCTGGCTGGCCGGCGTCCTGGACACGGCAGGATGCGCTGCCTGTGTGCCCTCCTGAGGTCTCTGAGCAGCTCGAGTCCCCAGTCTGTCCACACGTCAGACCCTGCTTCCGAAGCGTAAGTCAGTGAATTGAGACGAGGGTCGCAGTTGGCTGGTAGCTTCTGTCTGCGTTCACTGCTTTTTATACTGGGATCTTAACTTGTAACCTCTTTCCTGCTGCCCTACGTTTGTTGATGTCTTAAAGCTGCCACACTTATGGGTAGATTAAGCTATTTTTATGCTTGAATATACTTTTTAAGGATTGATTTAAGTGTGGTGTTTTGAAGTTTTAAAGTCTTATTTGCCATCTTCCAGTTCTTGTGTTAGTTTAAATTCTGAGTCTGAATCTTGTGTGTGCGTGTGTGGAAAGACCAGTTGTGTGGAATGAAAGCTGACCTTCTTTTGTATTATCATAGGATGGTAGACATCCTGTGTTCAAGACCGCCTGCTTTGGACGGATTATGGGTTTGGTAATTTAGGCTGAAAAATGAGTTAGGTTCATTCCAACGCTTTAACTGTTACTTTTTGCTTGGCTCCATGATGGTTCTCCTTATGTGTGTTCCTTTTGTTGCTGTCTTGTAGCCCACAGTGTCAGTTCAGTAAATACAGAGGCAATACACTATGTCAGGATTGCTAGCATCAGTAGAAATTAAGCTGAAAGAGCCATTGTTTTGTCAAAATAGCTGTCACCAGCTGTTTGTTTTATTACGGTACTAAATTAAAAAAAAACTAAAAAATGAAGTATACACAGTGATCTATGAAGTTTTATAAAGTTCTGCTTCCTTTCTTAACTGTGTATATGTTCTGGCATTATAAGAATGTCAAATGGATATTAAAAGAACTTACATTCTTGTAAAAATTTCACTTATGAGGGGTTTTGGGGGGGTGATGAGGATAACTTGCTTAGTTTTGTTAATTTTTCTCTGCCATAACTATAGTTATGAAATTTCAGATACAGTCCTGATATATCAAAAATAACCTGAATAGAGTTTTCTGTGATTTTTCTTGTAATGGAAAAGGTCCTGCATGGATTATATTTAAAGGAGTTGAATTTAGTACCATGAAGGTTCATTTTTATGGGACTGTGCTTGATCAGTTGTTCACCACTTAGAGAAATGCTGGTTTATAAATTTCTCCTACTTAAATCCATCATTTCACTCTAGTCATGCTTTATTGATAGAGTGAGTAATTTGAAGAGGGGAGCATTTCTGAGTAAGATTGTGTGAGGAGTGTGGGCGGGTGCGGTGAGCGTGAATGGCAAAGCGGGAGAGTGTGGTCCAGGGGCCAGACCAGACATGGCGAGTGCATGTGGGCTTCTGGGCCCACCTGGGGTCAGCCACCCTGCTGGCAGTGAGAACAGAAGCATTGGCCTTCACTGGGCATCCTCATCCGGGTCGCAGGCCCGGAGTGCAGTTTACAGGAATATGTATAGAAGCTTCTGCTCTGATGCCCAGCGCAGAGTGCTTGTCCAATGGCAGTTGCTCCCTTCTCTCCGTCCTCCTTCCTGAGGCCTTCTCTTGCCTGCAGCTCTCACTTCTGCCCAATCTGGGCAGTGGAGAGGGACAGGGGGAGGTGGGAGAGGGGGCAGTGGGTGAGAGTCGGTCTTGGAGCACTCCTCAGTTACCCGATCATCTCTTGTGGGAAGAAGTTGATGCCGAGAAAGGAAAAGGCAACATGATAAGATGTGTAACTATGCAAACAGGTCCTCGAAGATACTGCCCGTGGCTTGTAAATCACCACCACCTCCGGGGTAGACACTAGATTCATCCACAGCAAGGTCCTAGAATATTAGTATTCGTGGTTTCGGTGATCCGAGCCCTAGGATTTTCCTGAGAAAACCATTCTTAGAAAGCACCAAGTTATACATACAGAAATGTTGATTGTGTGTTGCTTTATGAACACGCATGCACGTGCACACACAACCCTAGAACTAGTTTGACAGCTTCTATGGTAATAGATTTTAAATAGCGTCACCTGTCTTACAGGGCTGTCTTACGGGAATGAAATCATTGTGAAGCCTTGTTTCTTAAAGAAATGAGCAAATGTTTACTATATGTGTTAAGTTTTTATAACTAGGATTATGTGAGATTTTCCCCTTTTTTATAGTTTGCTTTGATTTTGATAATATCTCCTAAATGTATGTGTAAATATTTATTTAAAAGGTTGATTTTTTTAAAATACGCATGTGTGTATGTAGATAGATAGAGGTAGGTACGTAGGTAGCAGTTCCTGCCAGCCACATTATTGCCGTATTGTTTACGCAGCCCAGGAATGCATTTTGACTTTAAATGCAGTGCACCTTGCTTAACCAGGCCACCTGAGTTTAGACAGAACTGGTCTTCTAAAGAGGTCTTACGTGCTTCAGAAATGTAAGGCTAGTTTCCTAGTGATTCATTAATTTGCTTTCAACCTGATATTTGAAGGCTTATGTTTCTAGGTTGCTTTAGTTCAGTAAAATGCTTTCCCTGTTAGAGGCGTTAGCAGAGTCGATGTGAAATCAGCTGGGGTGGGAGAAGACGGGGGTGCTAACACCAGCTCTGGTTCTCCCGCGCCCACAGGAAGTCATGTTAGGTTGAACTGTAGGAAACTGTGATAGTCACCACTTTTGAACTAGCAGTTTCACATCGTTTAGCCTGAGTATTGCATATGTTCTCACCAGGGTCCTCACGAGGGCTGGTGTGCCCAAGAAGCTCGGGCGGGGGCGGGGTGGAGCTTGGTCGGCAGGGTCCCTGCTGTTAGATTCAGGTCCCTGCACCGAGGACTGAAGTGCTCAGCTGTTCTTCAGGGTTTTCATCCTTATTTTACAACTTCATTCATGGTGCTTTTCCTGGTAGGTGATATGAGGACTCCGGGGTTGCCTTGCTCTTCCCGGTGGGTGACCTGAGCTGGTGCCTCTTCTTCTCCCAGCCTGTCTGTCCCTCAGTTCCTGATGTTTGGAATGACACGTGCAGCACCAGTGAGGGACTCAGACTCGATCCCTAGCACAGGCCCTAAACATCCTCTGTCCTGCAGAGGAGAGACAGGAACGTGGAGTTTCAGTCGCTGATTGAGTCGTAGACGTGGCAGTGATAGAGCTCGACTCCCACAGCGCACTCCTGGCCTCCCTGGGGTCATTCTAGACGCCATGGCTGTTGGATTGGACTCTCAGGCCAGACACAGTGTGTGCGGTAGCAGGGGCTCAGGGCATCGTTGGTTGTAAAGAAACAGTGAAGATGATGGTGAAAGAGGAGTAGTACAGTATTAAAAACTCGTTTGTAAGCTGCTTTAGTTTCTGACTACATACTTGGTTTCATCATCTACAAATGCGGATAACTTTCTTCTTCGCATATTGTGAGGATTAAATGAAATCATGATGGGAGAACGCTTTTGGAATTTTAAAGCCTAAATAAGTTTGTTTTATTGTGCTACATCGTGCACTGTGAAGGTCGGGAACCATCGCTTGTTTCTCACACTGGATGCTTCAGGGTGCAGTCACTTTCAGGGGTGTTTGGTGGACTGATAAGCATCGGGAGTCTTAGTGCCCTGATTCGGTTCATTGTAGTTTTAAAGCATCTTTTACTTCTTATGTTTTTTGCCGTCTTTGCCAGATAATTGAAATTATTCTAGCTCTAGGAATGCACTCTTACATTTGGACACTTCTGTGTGAAATTGACTTGCTGAAATGGCCTTTCATGAATGAACTTGCATAGACCATATGTGTTCTATATTATGCACAATTGTTTTTGCTCATAATGAGAGCAGTAATGTGAACCTTCTGGGGGTTCTCGTTCTCCCCTTTGGTGTTTTGAAATAAGCACCACATGTTCAGCTTTAATATTAAAAAACAGATACCCACTTATATTTTGTAATCCTGGTTGTTAGTGAGGATAAGAGAATGTTGTCTCTCTGAAGTCTAACAGTGGCATCTTCTCTCATTGCGTGGCTGCTCGTGGCTCAGTGAGGAGTTGGGAGAGTTCATGGAGATGAAAGGTGCCAACAGCCCGGGGATTCTTGTGTTGACCACCGGCCTCAGCAAACCATTCATGCGCCTGGATAAATACCCCACGCTGCTCAAGGAGCTCGAGAGACACATGGAGGTACTGCTTGTCGTGTGTCTGTCACTTGGAATCCATTAGCCACTGTCAAAGAAATTATTATTAATGATTTATTTTAGAAGCCAGAACCAACAAAAAGTTTACCAGGGGTTTTTAAATTCAGTGGATTTTCCAAATGATTTGTGAAGTATGAAATGTTTTCTCCTTACCCCAGCTCTATAAAAAAGCATTTGCTCTTTCATCTCTTCTCTCACCCACTGCTGCTGATAGAAAAATTTCCAAAAGCTAGAAAATGTTGAACTGATTTTTAAATAACTGGAGGTGATATTTTTAAATATCAGGAACAGTTAGCTACAAATGTTAAGTGTATCAGTTATATAGAGTAGTAATAGTAAAAGAGTCATTTAATTAATGATACATATTTATCTTATGTTTGAATAACAGTCTGCGGCCCAGCGGAAATTCAGGTTCGAGTTATTGGCGAGGGGGTGGTGAACTTTTTCTGTAAAGGGCAGGCTACCTGGTTTCCTCCACAGCTGCTCCCCTCTGCCATTCTGGCGCCAAAGCAGCAGAGGCCGTGTGTTGGGAATGGGCATGGCGACGTGCCCTCTTCATTCTCCACAGCAGACGTCGGGGTGCTGACTCCTGCTCTTGGTTTCTCTCTTCCAAATTGTTATTCCCCAGAAACTCCATGTGTCCCTTAAAGAATAAGAAACAGCACTTAATGCTGAGAAAAACAGGGCATGTTACAGGTTAAAAAGTATTGGAAAAGTTTCAACTTTTTAAGAAAAATCTTTTCATTTATGACAGCTAATAGTGTGTTTCTTTTATTCAAAGGATTATCATCCAGATAGACAAGATATTCAGAAATCCATGACTGCCTTCAAAAACCTTTCAGTAAGTGATCGAGCATATTAGTGTTTTTTTCCGGACATTATTATGGCAAATGAATGTAGAAGGATTGTTGATCACCTACAAAAGTTAGATGATAAAAAATCACTTTTGAAACATAATTCGAGTTTACTCTGATGAAATAAAAATAAATAATTGGTAGTTATTCCACTGCTGGGTAATTTCTCATGCTTTACTGGACTGTGGACACCAGAAAAATGACATGATAATTGTTTAAATTTTAAAAAGGCGCCACATAATTGATGCTATAGCTACTTAAAAATGATTTAGAACCTGTTTTTAACCTCCATCCACAGTGTCTTTAGTGATAGAGTAGAATCCTGGTGGGTCCATTGTCCCTGTTGTCATGCTGTCTTACCGACTGTTTCTGAAATAGCACCTTATTTATAGCACGGGTGGTACTCTTTTTTCCCCCCTGTTCCCAGTCATCTATCTATGTTGGAAGATACTAATAAAATCAGAAAGAAAGTATTTTTCTTATCCATTTTACATTTCTTCTTCCTAAAAGTGGCAGGATCTGCTATATTTTTCTAAGATGGTGTGTGTTACTCCAGAGTGGTTATGTGTTTGCGTATCTTGACTCAATTTCATTCTTGTGGATTAAGCAAATCATTCAGTGGATTATCTGTCTTAAGAAGAAGCAAGACACAGTAAGTGTCTTACTTAAGTAAGGCCAAAACTTAGAATTCTGGAAGTTTGTGTCTCTCCTGACAGTGTTCTTCTGTGTCTCTCAGGCCCAGTGTCAAGAAGTGCGGAAAAGGAAAGAGCTCGAGTTGCAGATCCTGACGGAGGCCATCCGGAGCTGGGAGGGGGATGACATTAAGACCCTGGGCAACGTGGTTTACATGTCCCAGGTCATGATTCAGTGTGCCGGGAGTGAGGTACTGCAGTGCGTGTGGCGCCACGAGGCTCTGGTCAACTCTGCAGGGTAGATGGGACATGGGGGGAGGAAACCCACGTGCTCTGGACTAGCTTGTTCTCATGCCAGTATCTAGATTGTTTTCCCTGAAACCTTTAAAGTATCTTGGGTAAAAATTGAGTTAAGAGCTGAACAAAATTTGTATTAAATATAATTTATGTTTTCTAAATGCTTTTTAACATTCCTCAGTGACAGTCAAGATTGTAAATACTTCAGAATGTTATGTTTTTTGGGTGTAATACAAGTTTTTAAAGGAGTATCAAATGATGACAACATTTAATAGAACTCATATCTTATATATCATAATTTGTTGTCTGCCCTTTATCTTTGCCAAATATAAAAGTGGCTTCCAGTCTAAGGGAGACTTAGCTGGTTGTGGCCTACTTGACCAGTTGAGATCCAGCCAAGATCAGTTATGATCAGAGTTGGCGCTGAAAGGTGGTGTCCAGGCAGGATTTCACATCCCCCGTTAAGAGTCCAGTTTTACGAGTGTCTGCCACAGAGTGGTGTGTGCCTGTCTGGCTAGTGCTGCCATTCTAGAAATTCTACTGTTTTCCATGGTTTAGATCATCATACTTTTCTATCCCATGTATGCATTGGCATTTGCTTATGGGAATCACAGTTAGCATATGGGTTTGGTTTAAGTGAGGGATAAAACCAATTCCTGTGATAGCCCCACACAGTTGAAAATCGAGCAGGTTGTGTTTCGCTGTCGCAGGAATTATGTGTTCATTGAGTCCCTAAGCTAGTACCTCTTTTTGAATTTTATCCTATTTTTGTAAAAAGATAATTAACCCGATCAAAACATGTTAATGACCCATTTTCAAACATGAAACTCTTAGGACAGGAAGAAAACAGAAACTTATACTCACAATGAGTGTTCTTTCCTGCCTATAAAATTTTACGATATCGCCGCTGTAGGTATTCGTTTGGGTACCATAAGAAATCATGACTTTATAGTCTACTGCGCTGATCAAAGAAATGCATATCTTTCCAGAAACTGTTTTTTAATCTTCCCCTTTAAATTTTATTTAAAAATCTATAGAAACATTTCCCCAAGTGTTTTCTGTATAATACTAGATCTACAAAACATAAATAGGTGCTGCTTAAAAAATGATTCAAAGTTGTTATGATCATTACTGGGGAGATTGTACATTGGTGCCCTGTCCCCGCCGGTTCAACCAACTGCGGGTGGAGAGGCCTACGGTGTTTGCTTCTGTACTGAACAAGTAGGGGCGTTTTTTCTCTTATTATTCCCTAAACGATACAGTATGGCAACTATTTACATAGCATTTACATTGTATTAGGTATTATAAGTAATCTAGAGATGATTTAAAGTATACGGGAGGGTATGTGTAGTATGTGTAGGTTATATGCAAATACTACGCCAATATGTATAAAGGATTTGAGCATCCGTGGCTTTTGGTATTGGAGGGGGTCCTGGAACCAATCCCCCACGGGTACCAAGGGACGACTGTAGTTAGTTGTGAAGATTTCTTTATGACAGGTCTTCTCAGAGCCTGTGCTCTGAATATTCACAATATATGTTGTGCATCTTCAAGAGGGGAATAGAAGAAGTAGTTTTCAACAACTCCTTTAAAGTAGAGAACCTCTCTTTCTGGGCACTTTGCATATATATGGCTGGTTTTTGAGGAGTCTGCTCAGAGACCTGCTTCCTAGTGTTGCTTCACTTTTGTGGGCAGTGGTTAAGACAGCAGCTTGTAAGAGTGCTGCCTGCATTTCTCTTTGTCTCCTTTTAGGTTCTTGGGAGTTTTTGTCCTTCAGTTGTGTTCTCCCTGGGGCTCTTCTTACTTTATTGAAGCGAATAATTTTTAATACATAAATAATGCTTTTAAGTCTTTCACGTAGGGTATAGTTTAGGGGCTGGATGAGAACAACACTGAATTGACGCATGAGGGTTTAAGGGAAATGCCAGGAATTATTAATAGACCAAAATTGATTTTAGCATTTGATCCTACCTTCCTTTAGCTTAAAGGGTCCACCCTCTCCCACTAAAATTTTCTAAGTTCTTTTTCTCCATTTTCTCTCAACTACAAAAAGAAAATTGAAGACTAATTAAAAAGAGTTAATGGCAGAGCTGGACTCCTTAACCAAATTTTTAAAAAAGTTGTTACATGGTCTATTTGTGAATGTAAGAATTTATTGTAATTTTGTTTCCATTTAATTTAGCTAATAAAATTTGGTAGGGAGAAATACCTAAACAGGAAATATAATGTTTCATAAAGCCTAATATAAATATTCTCACATCTATAAGTATATGTTTTAAAAAAATTATTTGGATTTGTTTTTTCTTTTACATTAGGAAAAGAATGAAAGATACCTTCTGCTCTTCCCAAATATTTTGCTAATGTTGTCTGCCAGTCCTAGGATGAGTGGTTTTATCTATCAGGTAAAACACATTTTAAATTTATATTTTATTGTTTATTGTGGGTCTGAGAATCATTTCCAGGCTTATTTTGAATTTTTCTGTTAAATACTACATGTATCTATCTACTTACGTGTTGTGTGTAGTGTTGTATGTGTAGTGTTATATATTCAGATATGTATACACAGCTCCTGTGTGTGTTTCAATGTGACTGTGTAAACAGGTGCTTGTGTTAATCCTAAGCAAAGAAAGATGGAAATATGAAATCTGTAGAGCTGCCTCCTAAGGACACAGACTGCTGAGGTGCATGGCCAGCTCTGTCACCGCCTAAGTCATGCCTCGCAGTCTCCACTTCTCTCCTGGTCACTGTGGTGCCTTAGTGGGCGCCCCAGCGGCTGGGCTGAGTGGGACAGTGGAGGCTGAGAGGTTTCGTAAGCAGTACAGCACAGGCGTTGGCAAGTGTCAGGTGGTGTAAATAGTAGTGAATGATCGTTTAACCTTTTTGTTTTTAATCATTTCACTGATTTTCTCTGAGAAGTTGTGAGCATTTCACTGATTTTCTGTGAGAAGTTGTAAGAGCTGATTTAAGAAGACTATGCAAGGGGAGATCTTTTCTGTTTTTCTATACTAATTTAAAACGGTGATATTAAGTAGATTATATTTTCTCTGTCTGTCTAGTAGGTGCTTCTGGCAAGGTGTCATTGTTTTTTTTCTGTGTAGTTCTAGAAGCTAACACCTTTCCTATCAGTTTATAAGGCCTGGCCAATCACCAGAAACTGCTTCAACAGAAATCACTACTTTGTTTTCTCTGAGTTGCATTTTTTCAGAACATAGTATGTTGTTTTGTATTGTCTCCCACAAAAGCACTAGTGAATCCTGAGTCAGTGTCCATGGCTTATTTGTACCTCCACAGAGAGCTTTGTCTGCCACCCAAAGAGGAGTTGTCCATCACACAGTTATTCCAAAGGAGCAATGTAAAACTGATAAAGCAAATACATATGGACAAACCCAGAAAAATAATGCCTCTTAATTGATAAGCCTGCCGCTTAGCAGACCTCTGTGGCTGAGAGTGCCTGCTCAGGTTCCCCTAGACTGGTGGTTCCCACTTTGTTAAATGACCCCGATAAACATAAAGTGGAGTCCTTTTCTGTCAGCACTCTCAGGTTTTATACGCCAAGAGGCTGAGACGGGCGTGCTCTGACCTGAGGGAGCAGAGGGTGCTATTTGGGGCGGGCTCAGGCCCCAGCGCTGCCGCTGGTACACACCGTGTTGGCATTGACCTGCCAGGGAGGTCTCACACCACCAGTAGGACCCTGTTTTCCCACTCTTTGCACAGTTTCCTGCGAGGTTTCTTTCTCTGAGTGCTGTGACCCACGGTCTGTGTATTGTCAGTATTCACTTCTGGCTTTGAGGGACATTAAAAAGCATTAGATGCACCAACAATAGGGACGTTCTGTCTGCTGATGTTGATGTGCTTGGTTACATGCAGCCATTCAGCTTTCTTTTCTGTAGGACTGCTCAGAGCTGCTGATACACTCTGTGCGTTAGGCATCTTGGAAAGGAGTGTGCAGTATACAGCAGTTTTCAAATACTTCTGACCTCGGAAGTGTCAAGTACTGTCTGATGTCCCACCTACTGAACCTCAGAATAGGCTTTCTCAGCCTGGGCACTGTTGACGTCATGGACAGGATGAGTCCTTGTGTGGGAGGGGGTGAGGAGACTGTCCCGTGAGATTGTCCCGGGTGCTGTAGGAAGTTCGGCAGCACCTCTGACCTCTGCCCACTCGATGTCAGGAGCACCCGCCTGGCTGTGGCATTGCCAGTGTCCCCTGCGGGGCAGAACTCCCCCTGACCTTGCTGAAGACTGCTGCTTTCAGGGGGGTTGAGAGGGACTTTCTTCTCCGCAGGCAGCTCGGCCCCAGACACTGATAGACTTTTCCTAAAGTCTTGGTTGGCCACCAGGTACTGAGTGTTTATGTTAAATGTTTTTAGTTCTGAGCTGTGATGGTCAGTTAGTGGCCCTTTGCTAGTATCTCTCCGTGGACATCTCCCGCCCTGTTTTCAGAATGGACAGGTTGGCTGCCCTTTTCTGATTCTGTCAGCGCCCAGCACAACCACTGCTTTCCTGTCTGGTGGACGACCGAGAACAACTGCTGTACAATTCCTCTTGCTCCAATTTCCCCCTTATTTTGCCTTCCAACATGGAACTTCCTGTGCATTTCTTTATGAGGCAAACCAGTGCTTCCTTTGCATAAACAAGTGGTTTAAAATAGCTACTGTAGACTCTAGGTTTTTAATCATAATGTGTAATGTTTTTGTGTCCTGGTGTTTATATTTAGAGTAACTCATCATACGAAATTTATTTTCTGGTTTGCTGCTCTGTACCTTTTTGCTGGCTCAATTTCTTGATTCTAATATTATGATTTATTTGAGATGGAGGTTTTCGTATTATATGTGCATCTTGTACAAACAAAAGAGCTTTTTTAGTTTACAAAATTCCTCTGCCATTTCTAAAATCATTTAATAATTAATAACAGTTCCTTCTTTACTAGAAAAGCACTAATTGTTTTTTTTTTTGTGGGGGGGTGTCTTTTTTAGGGAAAGCTACCAACGACAGGAATGACAATCACAAAGCTTGAGGACAGTGAAAATCATAGAAATGCATTTGAAATATCAGGTGATAGGCACAAACTTTGTGGATGCTATCTGTCACGAGGATGAGAGGCAGCTACCATTGTGTGCACGTTCTTGCTTGACTATTTCAGAGGGCTGATGTTTAAGCGTTGTTGAGCTATACTCTGGGTGTGTGCATGTGCATGTGTGTGCTTTCTGCCTGTTTTCCCATTTCAGCCTATTTTTTCTTATCTCTTCCAGGGAGCATGATTGAGCGGATATTAGTGTCATGCAACAACCAGCAGGATCTTCATGAATGGGTGGACCATCTACAGAAGCAAACGAAAGTCACGTCTGTCGGCAACCCCACCACCATTAAGCCTCATTCTGTGCCATCTCATACTGTAAGGACTCCTGATCAATATCTAGATCAAGAATGCAAAATCACTTGCCTTATATGTTTCTGCAAATATTTGCTTATTTCCATCGAATAGTGAGTTGCTTAACGGTGATTTCTCTTGTGAAACAGCCCTAAACTGTGCTGCCTCACACGCAGTTCAGTGCACTCGGGGAGGACGCTGCCTCTTCTCAGAGTGGGCCTTGAAGACTAACTTAGGGGGTTTTCAACTGAAACTCCGAGAGCCACTGGTCCATAGGTGGTTTTTCTGAGAATTTTAACTGTATTTGTTGTGTTTCATCAAAAAACAAAAGTAGATGATTATGATGATGGGAAGGACCAGATTCTTGTTAAAGGCATTAAAATGAAATTTTTGACTTTTAAGAAATCAATTTATTTTCTGCTTAGAAAAGCTCAATAGCTCTTTGACTTTTTAGATACTTAAACATTTCAAAATAGATCACTACCAACGTGTCAGTGTTGAAAACTTCTCTTTACTGGTGTTTTATTCTTAAGATATTGGTATTGAATCATTTTAACATTCATCATCTTTTATTAAATAATATTGAAGAACCAGGCACACCTTTTTAAGAATGACTTATGATTACACAGCATTTCCAGTTGGTAGGTTTTTCTCACATCTTTCTTAGATTGCTGTGATCTTTGTTAGGACATTTTGGCCATGTAGCTCACTTCCGCATTTCTTATCCAGCGTTAAAGTTTTAGCTTAGGAAGGGTGGTTGCAGCATTATGAAAACATCAGTTTTGTTGTCTGTCTCGATTTCTCTCAACAGTTTGGAGGTTAAAACTACTCATTTGCTTTAGCTAACATTTCATTTTGAATGGCTCTGCCATTTATAATTTTTCCATACTTTAAAAAACATTAAATATGCTTAGTTTTCATGGAACTAAAGAAAAATGGAAATACTCTTTCATTCAGATTGTCAGTAACAGCCTGAAACTAAACTGGATAAGATTTCATGTCCAGTAAAACTTTGCTCTGTATCTGGACCCTGGCCTCTCATATTCCCTTCCCTGTCCCCCAGTGGCAGGGGAGGTGCCCTCTCAGCCGGGCATTCTTTTTTTTTTTTCTCTTGTTTTGTTTTTTTTTTTTTTTTGTGAGGAAGATCAGCCCTGAGCTAACATCCATGCTAATCCTCCTCTTTTTGCTGAGGAAGACCCGCTCTGAGCTAACATCTATTGCCAATCCTCCTCCTTTTTTTTTTCCCCCAAAGTCCCAGTAGATAGTTGTACGTCATAGTTGCACGTCCTTCTAGTTACTGTATGTGGGACACGGCCTCAGCATGGCCGGAGATGCAGTGCCTTGGTGCGCGCCCAGGATCCGAACCCGGGCCGCCAGTAGCAGAGCGCGCGCACTTAACCGCTAAGCCACCGGGCCAGCCCAGCAGGGCGTTCTAAGTCCAGCCGTGTGGAGGGCACCATTCCTCACATGCAGGCTTTTGAAATGTTGTGCAATCTTCTTAGGGAATTTCTCTTTGGGGGATTATGTATTCTCCCTGTGATCTGGCTGTATCCACCTTGAATAATATTCTAATTTTAGCGTAAAGCATACCTCTTTTGACTTTTTCAAGTAAGGAGAAACAAAACCAAATATTATTTACTACATTGCTAGAAGGAAATGTTTGCCATAATCATCTTCTTTTGTGAATTATTCAGTTTGAAAAAATTATTTTCTGGTGGTTGTGTAGCTGGTTATAAGACACACATGCACACACACAGACACGTACATGCCAGGAGGGACATGTGGTTACTGCAGAAGTGTATTGCTTCAGTTCCTGAGTACCGTGGGTGAGCCAGTGCAGGGGCTCCCCTGTAAGCTTGTGTTTCAGATATTGTCCAGGCCTTCAACTGATGACCCCGCTCAGCTTTCCTGCTCGCAGAACCACTCAGCTCTTTCTCCTGTTAAGCATGCCTTATTGTTTTGGGCTAATTTGAGGTGATTGGCTAATTTTGAATGTTACCTTTTTTTTGTGAGGAAGATTGGCCTTGAGCTAACATCTGCTCTTTTTGCTGAGGAAGACTGGCCGTGGGCTGACATCGTGCCCATCTTCCTCTACTTTATATGGGAAGCTGCCACAGGGTGGCTTGATAAGCGGTGCGTACATCCGCGCCCGGGATCTGAGCCTGCGAACCCCGGGCTGCCAAAGTGGAGCGCAACAAACTTAACCGCTACGCCACTGGGCCGGCCCCTGAATATTGCTTATTTTATTTAACGTTTTCTCATTTAATTGTCAGTGTGATGGAATATTGGGGTTTCCAGGAGTATAAACCCCATTAATAAAGTCCTTCTGAGAAATTAGATTTATATAACTTCGTTTTGATTAAAGCTGATTTTTCTGAGAAAATAACTTGTTTTATCCTAGGGATTAGCAAAATTTTTCTATAGAGAGACAGGCAGTAAATATTTTCGGCTTTACAGGCAATATGGGCTCTGTTGGAATTATACTTTGCTTTTGTAATGTAAAAGCAGCCATTGATAAGACTAGGCCTGCCTGTGTCCCAGGAAAGCCTTTTTTTAATCAAAAACAGGCATCAGGCCCTAGGTTTGCCCACTTCTAAATCACCCAGGGCAATGATATTGGACTGGGGAGAATTATCCTCCACTGTAACCACATTCCCAGTACGGGACATGCCTGTTTCTTTATAAAATTCTGATACTTATACTAAATGAAGTGCCTATTTGCAGCTGTTATTCTGTGGCACACAGAAGTGGTGGTGGAGTGTCCGGGTCTTGGGCCCCCCGTGTCCTGCTGCCTCCTGAGCCGGGCTTGGCCATGGTCTGAAGCAGACGGTTGGGGCTCCACACTCAGCCCAGGCAGACCAGAAGCCGGCTGCTTGGAGTCAGAGATTCCAGAGAAATGATAATAACCTAGGGGTTATTTCCCTGGGAGTGTTTGTAAAAATTAGCAGAATTAAGTGTATGTGGTTGAGGTTCCTTTGACAGTGAACGTTCTGTTTCTGCTCTTTCTCACTCTTTTCCCTGGCAGCTCCCCTCCCATCCGATCACCCCATCCAGCAAGCACGCGGACAGCAAGCCGGTGCCGCTGGCACCCGCCTACCACACGCTGCCCCACCCCTCCCATCACGGCACTCCACACACCACCATCAACTGGGGGCCCCTGGAGCCTCCGAAGACCCCCAAGCCGTGGAGCCTGAGCTGCTTGCGACCCGCACCTCCCCTGCGGCCCTCAGCTGCCCTCTGCTACAAGGAGGTGAGGTCCAAGTGACAGCGAGTGTTACTTGACACCTGGACTTGTTGGGTTGGCCTATGTGCTTCATTCCAGTGCCTTCAGAAACATGGAAAATCCCATGTTTCTGTCTGTGACATAAAAATACAGATTAGCTTCTTTAGAACTTTGAAGGGTCTGCCTCCATGCTTTCGTCATTCCCTTCTGCTGCCGTGGGGGCCTTGCAGGCCCACAGAGACCCTCGTGGGGGAGCTCGGGCAGCATCAGACCTTCTCTGTGCGGTTCACAGAGGGGCATTTTCCCTGCTCACCATAGCTCTGCCTTGGTTCCTGCCGCCTGGAGGCCCAGAAGCTGGAAGGCTCACATGGGCTTCCTCTGCGCCTCTTGCTGAGCCCGCGAGCCTTTTGAACTTCCAGTGTGTGACTAGGAGTTCACTTTTATGTCTGCATGCTTTTCTGCTGCACCTTGTGACCCTTTTTCAAGTTTGAGATCTTGCCCAGAAACCCTACATTGTCACCAGAAGCTGTTTGAGGTGAAGAGAACATTTATAAATAGAAATGAAAGAAAATTAAGACAGTTCTCCTCTTTGTGTAAAAAATCATAGTGTACTCTGCTCTTCATTCTAATCTGGTGTTTTTTAGATACTATGTACAGTTAAAATGCAATTCTCACCCATAAGTAGGTGCTAACAGTTTCCTACACTTTTATACTAGGTTTCAAACACTAAACCTGCTTTGATGAGGAAAGGAAGTGTTTTGAGAAATATGTTTTGAGAAATATTTGTGCTTGAAGAAGCTGATAAGTGAAATGAGTGTGGTTATCATGAATGTGAGTGAGTGTGAATGAGTGGTTATCATGAGTATGAGCCTGAGTATGAATGCGAGTGTGGTTATCATGATTGTGAGCATGAGTATGGTTATGAGTACTGGAGTATGGTTATCGTGAATGTGAAGGTGAGTGTGAGCATGGTGAGTGTGAGCATGGTTATGAGTGAGTGTGAATATGGTTTTTTTAACATGAATGTGAGTGTGAGTATGGTCATTTATTGTGAGTGAGCCTCAGTATGGTTATCGTGAGTGTGAGCGTGAGTATGATTATCATCCGTGGGAGTACGGTTATCATAAATGTGAGCATTAGTACAGTTACTGCAAGTGTATGGTTATTGTGTGAGTGTGAGTATATTGTGAGTGAGCATATGAATATGGTTATCATGAGTGTGAGGGTGAGTATGGTTATCGTGTGAGTATGGTTATCGTGATAGTGAATATGGTTATCATGAGTGTGAACGTATGAGTATGGTTCTTGCGAGCATGAGTGTGAGCATGGTTATTGTGAGTGTGAGCATGGTGAAGTGCTGTGGCCTGGCATGCGTCTCCACATTCAGCTGAGGGCTGCGTTTGCTGAAGGACCTGGAGCAGACCCTCCCTCCATCCTTGCTAGCAGCTCTAAGTATTTTAAGACATATAGAAAACTACTATATAAATTATAATCAGTTCTTTACGTTTCTCGTTCTTAATGAATTTTGTTTTTTTATGACATATATCTTGCTTGGGCACATATGCCCAAGTCAGAAATTTCTTTATCACGGCAGTTACTTGAGGAGTGTGGGTACTCTTCATTTCCTGCATGTCTGCAGATCTGCAGGCAAGCACTGTGGGCATTCCATTACAGGGGAGGAGCAGAAAGGGTGAGGGAGGTGGTGTGGCGGTGAACGTGAGCATCTGGGTTTGGAAGTCTGGCTGCAGTTGCTTTGCGGGACCCTGTGTTGGAGAAAAGGCTTCACACTCTAATTATTGTCCAGAGTTGCCCAGCACCTCCAAACACATAGTGAAGGGTTGTCTTACAGGGTATGGCCAGGATTGGAGCTCTGCCGTGCGGCCAGCTTTGCCCAGTCCAGGAGTCGGGCACGGCCTCTGTGGACCTGCACCCTCTGCACATGTGGGGCCACGTCTGTGCGCTGCCCGGGTTCCCACCTCTGTTTGCTTTGAATTAGGGAGGCTATGGCACACATGCTGTGTTGATTTCATTGGGAACTGATTTCTGCTGCATTTCTAAGAGATTTTAAAATGTTTATTTTTACAGAAAAGATTTTGAAGAGATACCTTTAAAAATCAGACTGTTCCCTCTGTGCTTTCACTTGGATTAATTCCACAGCACAAATCACCTTCTCAGTCACAGTTTCTTATTGTAGATTCATGAATGGTTTATGTAATTTAAATTATACCCAAGATAGCCTTTTTTGATATCCATATTTAACGCATGCTAGACAGTCAAACACTTGCCCCCCACACATTGGACTTCGTCCTGCTCTGTTCACCTCCTGCTGCATGGGTTTGAGGAGTGGGGGTCTGGAGGTCAAGGAGACCATCCCACTGTGGTCATAGCTCTGAAGTGGCGTGAACACACCGTAGAGAGAGCTGGTGCTCTGTCTTCTGTTTGCCTCTGCACTCGAGGCCCACAGGCTAATCTGATTCCCTTTTCCTCTTCCTTGAGGCTTCAAATATTTTCCTAAAGGAATCGTTCTTTCCTTACCTTTGCTTTAAAAATAGCCTTCACCTCCTCACCTCTTTGTAGCTAGCTGCGACAAATGGGTCTGCTCCAGAATTCGCAGCACGTGTGGACCCGTGTGCACGCCCGCCCGGCTGTGCTTGCTTCCCCTGCAGACACTGCCGGCCTGCCGCGGGTCCACAGCACCTCTCCTGTGTGTTGTCACAGTGCTGACGGAGTCAAGTAATGTGAGGGTTTGTATCCGAGTCAGTGCCCTCTTGGTTTTAAATTGATGCCCAGCAGCTGGCAAAGAAAAGTCAAAATATGAGAGAAGTAGGGAGCTCTTAACAGTGAGTGGCTGCAGTATTTCACTGCTTCACACTTGCACAGCGTACCCTTACTGATATGCCCGTAAAAATTCCTGCCTTTGGAGTTTGTCAGCATTAGTTCCCCTTTTGCTTTCCCTAGGATCTCAGTAAGAGTCCCAAGACCATGAAAAAGCTGCTCCCTAAGCGCAAACCTGAACGGAAGCCTTCGGACGAAGAGTTTGCGCTGAGGAAAAGTGAGTACGTGTGGCGTGTGGATGAGGACACGGTCCATCTCGAACAGGGACAGTATTCGTGGGATGGAGAGACAGCTGGTGGCTTTCCAGAGACTTCAAACAGAAGTTGGGGTCTGAGCCTTAGTGTCATTTCTGAAGGAAATTGTTTGAGCAGCGATAGCCACAGGCCGTTTCAGTGTTGACACCCACAGTCAGAACTACCTAGCACCAGTGATGAAGCACACGTGTGGTTTTCCCCTCGATGGAACTGTTTGCTGTCTCCCGGCCTCTGTGTTGATACCTGCTCTTCCCGTCTCCCTTTGCCTGGTGGTTTCCACGTGTCAGGATTGCACCCCACGCTGGTCTGTTGCTGTAGGTCTCTGTTTTCCATCGAACTGACTTGTCTGTTACACCTGAGTGTATGCTTGAGAAACACCACAGGCAGCATGGAATTTAGCTCCGGGTTCTCAGACAGCCTCTCACAAGGTGTGCCTCGCACACAGGAGATGCTCAGTTGATGGTGTGTGAATAAGTAGAGCTATTTCTAGAAGTAAGTGATGGGAGGGAATCAGCACACACACATGCACACACACGCTCACCCCCTTCTTTCCAGTGTTGAGCCCATTTCCCAGTACGGCAGGCAGGAAGGGTTCCATGTGAACAGATGGCTGTGGGGCTGTCTGGCACTACAGGAGAGCCTTGATAGGGGGACGGCCCAGCCTGGTGGGAGCCTCGGAGAAGTTGTGAGATGTGTCTGAAAGGGCCCTGCCTCCCTTCTCTCTGTCCCCATTCTCCCGAGATCTGTCACAGCTCTTCCTGACTTCTGGAGCATTGCTCCTCTTTTTCACCGTACCCATTTGGGATCTTTCAGGGATCATTTCCAGAAGGCGGCTTATGGGGGAAACATTTACAGTCAGAATATGAGTGTGGCCAACGTCACTGTGAGGAAGGGCAGCTTGTTGCAGCAGCCACGCATGATCCTGGAGCACAGGCAGCTGCACTTGGGCCTGCTCCACCGCGTGTCCCGTAGCATGGGGGTGATGATAAGCTGGGAGAAGCAAAGGCAGAGACGGGCCTGGAGGCTGTTCCATGAACAGGAGCTCTCTCCTCGCCCCTCGCCTGGTGTACACTGCTGGGGCACCGTGTATTTTGCCATCCTGACAGTCATCTTCCTCAGGTTGTGAGCGTGCAGAGCCGTGCCATGCTCCCAGGACACCTCATGAAACGGATGATTAGGCCGTGCACTCAGTGAGGGGCTCAGACCTGGAATTGAATGCCTGCCCCACCCTTCCCAGCTGTGAACGGGGTGTTTGGTGGATCCCCTCATTCGACAAGCGTTCGTTGAGTGCCTTCTATGCGAAGGCACTGTGCTGTACACTGGGACAGGCTACAGATGAGGGGCTATTCCCTTGACAAGTCTTTATTCACTGCTTCTGTGTGCTGGGTATGCAGCAGTAAACAGTGGAAACCCCTGTCCCCGTGGAGCTACATTTTAGAAAGATGCAGATGGGGGACTAGATAGGCAGATGACAGGGTGTGTTGGTGTGACGTGCAGGGGAGGGAGATGTGGTGGGGCTGTTTTAAACAGGGTGGTTGGGAAAGCATCTGTTTGAATGGCAACTTGCAGGGGTTGAGGAAGCTAGCCAAGCAGATGTCTGGGGGAGAGCTTTTCCAGGCACTGGCTCCAGAGCCCCTGAGGCAGGAACCCCCTGGTGTATTCAAGAGATGACAGCACCAAGCCCCTGGGGCTTGAGTGGTGGGGGGCCATGGAGAGATAGGGAGAGAAGAAAAGTTCTTTGAGGGAACAGGCAGCCACAGTCCAGGTGTGAACAGAGGACTTGATGGGACTTGGGTTTTAATCAGACCAGTGATCACTGTGTTGAGGACAGACAGGGCAGAGGTGGGAACAGGGAGGCAGCTGTGCAGAAATCCAGGTGAGGATGACGTGATGGTGGCCTGGGCCAGATGACAACGTAGAGGTGAAACATGGACAGACCTCAGATTTCTTTGAAGATGGACCCTACAACAGTGTTTCTCAACTGGGGGTGACTTTGCTAAACACCCTACAGCACACAGGACAGCTCCACAGCAAAGGATTATCTGACCCCAAATGTCAGTAGTGCTGAGATTGGGACGTGCAGGCCCACAGGCTGTGCTGTTGGATTGGACGTGGGGGTGTGTGAGAAGTGGGGCTTTCGACCTGTGCTTCTGAGGATAAGTTACAGGTACTGTGATGGGGCAGAGTTACAGGACTCTGAGCCCAGGGCAGGTCTGGGCCGGTGGGGAGAAGCCCAGAGTTGTTCTCCATGCTCAGATGATTTCTCAAGCCATGAGATTGAATAGACAGAGAAGAAGAGAAAGATAGGGCCCGAGTCTTAGGAGATGAGCAGCTGGCAGAGGAGACCTTGAGGGAGGGTCTGGAAGGTAAAAAGAAAACCAAGGGTTTTATGTGGGTGGGAGTAGAAACTTAACCTGCATGACCTCTGTGTAACTGGTGCCTATGTGTAGCCAGTGCTTAGTACACTTGACTGTAATTTCCTGAGTTACGCTGTAATTTCCTGAGTTATTTTAACCTCCGTTACATTCAGAATCTTGGAAATGTTTCTAGTTCGTGGAACAGTCTGTGCCTCACAGAAGATGTGTGCTGTCCTCTCGTTAGTTTACCTTCTCTAACCTCTGTGATGAACCGTAGCCCACTGATGGCTGCTTAACACTGCGTCCCCTGGAGCCAGCGCCCTCTCTGGCGTTGTACTGCTTCCTCTGTGCTTTGGATGTGGGAGTGTACTTACCCTGTGTCTGAGAAGAGCCATCTGGTTACATCACTTGGACAGGTGACTTCTCTCATAAAGGCTATTTTCCTGTTGATACAGAGGGAATGGCCTGCCCATGGGAGTTACCTGGCAACTGTCCTGAAATCAGACTAGTTAAATGTTACCTTTGTTACTCCTGAAGGAGGAGCTAATTATGGGAAACCTGTTAAATGATTAGTCCCAGTTAGTGAAATTAGTGAAAAGGTCAGTTTCTTAGTAGCTCTTAAACTGTTGGTGCTGAAGTGTATTTTTTAGTGGGGAATATTTGGCTTGCCTCACAGATGTCTATCTTACTACCCTAAAATGATGTTGAGGCTTTATTATACAGCTTGTAAATATTTCAGCCTTCCATTCTTTCCACTTTTTTATTAGAATATGTATCCAAGTAATATCTTAGAAAATACAGAAAGTCTAGAAAAACAGAGAAAGAGTCTAACCATATAGCGTGTGAAGTACCCTGGGGTGTGAGGCTCTGTGCCCAGTACTAATCCTTAGTCTGGAAGATTCTCCGTGCCTGTGATCTCTGAGTATCGATGAAGCCAGTGTCTGGAATAATCCATAGTTGAAGGAAGAGCTCCAGGTTGTGCTTTATGCATTTCTTAGATTAAATCTTTAGTAGGAATTCGTGAATCAGAGGAAATGCGCTTTTTAAAGCCTTCAATAAATATGGTCAAGTTGCCTATTCGGAGGGTTGTGTCCATGTTCATCCCCCCCAGCTGTGGATGGAGGGAAGGGTTTTCCTTCCCTCCTTCCCGTGGTCCACGTCAACACTGAGAATTGTCAGGCTTGTTTAGTTTTGTCAGGCTGCTGTGTGAAAACCCAGTACTTTAGTTTTCACTCCTTTTCTTACTGTTATCTTCTTGTATGAGTTGCTTGTTCCTAGTTCTTGCCCTTTTCTCAGTTTCAGAATGGGGGATGCTGTTTTTGTTATGGATAGTAAGATGACTTTTATATATTTAGGGTATTAACCCTTTACCAGATATGTTGTAGATAAAAATACTTCTAAAAAACTAAAAATCCTTTTGAATATAACTATTCTGTAAATATTGGAAAATGGTTGTCTGACAAGGAAATTGTCTTGTCATCATTTTTGGTTGAGTTGATGACTTGGCATTCATCTACTTAGTTTTAGATGGTGACGTGTTGTACTTATCATTTTTAGCTCGATCGTGACGTGCTGTGTGTCTCTTGACAGGCACAGCTGCCTTGGAAGAAGACGCGCAGATTCTGAAAGTCATCGAAGCTTATTGCACAAGCGCCAAAACACGGCAAACACTCAATTCAAGTAAGTTTCACAGTGATGTCCTGGGGATTGTGGTGGTTCATTTAGTTGACAGTCACAATCTGAAGGAAACTGTGCTGTTGTGCCCTGGGCCGGCTCGTCAGTGTGCCTTCCCGGTCCTCAGTGAGTGAGGCCCGGTGGCCCAGACAGGTGTGGAACAGCTTGAGCCTGGCATCCCTAAACACTGAAAAGGGTCTGAGCTGTCATAAAATAGAGATGTTCTAGAGGAGGTTCCACTGGGAAACCTTTACGTATAAGGCACTGGTAGAATTTATAAAACCTTCTTTTGCTTAGAGAAGATACGTGTAGAGGATAGTGGAAGATTCATTTATTCAAGCTATTTAAACTATTGGTATGGTAGTGGGTTTTTGTTTTTGTTTTTTTTTTAGCTTAGAATTGTTGTCAAAAATATAAACCTAGAACAAGGCTTCTTTTAGCTTTTTTTTTTAGTGATTGCATTTTAAAATTTTTGGAAGTAGACAGCAACTAATTTATTTGGTAGATTTCAATAACACTGAATTTACTTGTGTCTTATGTGTAGTGTTTTAAGTGAGAAAAGCTTGATCGACTGTGTGAACTTTTATAAAAAGGTGGGCTCTTTTTTAGCTTGCCCCGCATTCGAGAGCAGAGGGCAGCCTGGTGGCGGCAGGGTGGTAGTGCCTGTGGTTTGTTCAGAAGGGGCCAAGGGTCCCTTGCTGGTGCTGGGGCCGCAGGCACCACAGGGCTCCTTCTGCACTGTTGTTTCTTAGGTGGTGTTGGAGGTTTTGTTTTGTTTTTTTGCGAATTGGGTGGTCTATAGCTGGTTTCTGTTAGGTTGTGTGTTTTTGTTCCCCCTCTACTCTGACTCTTGGCCAGTCGCTTAGCCCACCTTCATTTTCACCACCTGCATATGGTGGTTCGAATCAGTGCATGTCCTGTTGTAAAGCAGTGCTGAGAGATAAGAAAAGGTGAGAAAGGAGTTTTCAGGTGCTGTAGTTTTTGTTAGAGATGACAACAGCTATGAAGCGAGGGCTCTGCAGATGATCTGGAAACTTCCTTATGGCCAATATTTTACACAGTTCACCTATGACATTAATGCATTTGTCTTTTTTTATGGACTGAATGTGGCGTGAGTATGCGTACAATCAGGCAGTAATTTGTAAATACAGGTGATTATCAGTTAAGGTATTACAGTTTCATATATTTGATAAGAGATTATGTTTTAAGTAATAGGCTATAAAATGTGGCCATAGTTTTTGGGGGTTGAGTTTGAGATTTTTTAGACTTACTCAACTTCAGTTACTTGAAATAAAATTTTAACCTGGTAGTCTCAGGTGCAAAGACCAGGTAATATGAGCTTTGTGTGTGTTTTTGTGCGAATGCATTTCTTCATCTGAGAGATGGGGCCCAGTGATGTGCCTGTGGCCCCAAGTTTGTGCAGATCTTTTCTTATCACGTGGCCTGTATGATGTATCTCCACGTCTGTTGTGCAAGAAAAGTGTGGACAATACACTGATTTTTGTTTTAACTGGTATTATGGGCTAACCACTCTGGGGCCTTGTATGTATATGTACAGTCTGTGGCCTTGAACCTAACACTCTGAGGAGCAGGTAGGCTGGAGAGTTGCTCCCTTACGCTGGAAATAGAGTGTGTTTAAGACCTTTGGAGATGGGGTCATAGTGAAAGGAGCTCTTTTCATGTCAGATGCTCAGTAACAACAGTTAGGATGATATATCTTATCTAAAATTCAGCTCTGTTCGGCATACATTTGGATGCCAAGAAGCTTTGGTATTGAGTTCTCTCTCAAGGAAGTAATGGCCTTCCTAGACTGTAGGGATTTTGTTGAAGAAATCCAAACTAGTCCACTGCTTGTTCTGGTTATGGTTTGGGAATGGATTTGACTTTGATTGGAAGCAGGAACAGGATGGAGCCAGTGGTTGCTGTGGTGTGCCCTTCCCTGTCAGGAGGGCCCTGGGTTCCCATGAGCGTGTCCTTCCAGCACCTCTGTCCCCGGCCTGTGCCAGCCTGCATGTCTCACTCTCAGCTGCCTGGCCAGTGTCGTTGCTCACGGCTCCAGCCACTCCAGGGCTTATTTCTGTTCTCCCGTTTGTGCCCGCTTCCATCATTCTTTTAACGCAGTGGCATTACCAGTTCACGTCTCTCTTCCTGCCAGTGAAGGGTCTGCCTCAGGGTTGATAATGTTTGCACAGACATGGCTTCCCACTTGATCTGTTCCTGCTGGCTGAGCTCTGGTGAGCGCTCTGAGGAGTGGAGATGTGCTGCACTCCGTGGGTGGTGGGGGGCCGGGATGGGGGAGTACTCCCTGTCTCCACTCTGACATTTTTGTAATGGTAATAGTCTGATAAGGTAAGTTTAGACTCCTTTGTAAGGTGACTTCTGGTGACTTATAGTCTGGCAAAGAGATAGCTGACAAAGTAAGTCAAAAAACCTTTGGAAATATTTTGCATTCAGTATATCCACTTAATGAATAGGAAACAATTTTTAATTAACCATGTAAATGGTTCCTTTTACAGATAATATCCTAAATGAGACTATTTGTTAATAGAATGTGGAATAGAATTGTTTACTTGTCAATTGTCTATAGAACCATCTGTGGTCACGGGCTTAATTTGTAAAAGATTTCTTAAGTGAGGACTTAATAGCAATATCTTTAAAAAAGAACAATTTGGAAACGATAAGTGATTTAGGTTTATTTAAATAATAATTGATCTAGTTTTATTCTAAGGGTTGTGTTAAGTTTGTTATTAAAACCCAGCCATAAATAAGCAGAAATGAACATTGTTGCCATTTTTTAACAATATTTTCTCTTTTCCTTCTCTTCCCATCACCTTTTGCTTTTGTTTTCATGTTTTTGGTTGTGGCTCTTCCTGTCCGTCTTCCTGCTCCTCCCACCTTTGCCTGTCACACCTGTCCCCTCCCCCGTCTTAGCATGGCAAGGCACTGACCTGATGCATAATCACGTCTTGGCTGATGATGACCAATCAAGTCTAGACTCCTTGGGTCGTCGCAGTAGCCTTTCTCGTTTGGAGCCTTCAGACCTCTCGGAAGACTCTGACTATGACAGTATATGGACAGCCCATAGTTACAGAATGGGTTCTACATCTCGTAAGAGCTGTTGCTCATATATCTCTCACCAGAACTAATGCGCTTCTGAGCTTTTCTTAACAAATGCTTGTTGTATCGCAGCCTGCTTTTCTTAGATGTTTTCTTGCTGTTCCTTGTCTCTTTTATGTGATATTTTAACAACTTTTGAGAGCGTTTCTGATATTTCCCATTGTACTTTGTGGAGGCTTAATTGCCAATTTGAGTATCCATTCAAGTTACTGACTGTTGAAGGAGATGGTATGTTCACACAGCCTATACCTGAAGGCTCTTTCTTAATGGGTAGTGGTGGTTTTATAGCTCCCAATGGTTTGGTTTTTTTATTCTCAGTGTAGCAACTGTCTCATTTCTTTTTGAATACAGCTGTATGTACACTTCGAAATTTTATACTGAAACCATACAGGTTTGTGATCTGAGTGCCAGCAATGTGGAGGAGACTCTGGCCTTATATTTAGGGATCTCAAGTTTGTATGTACAATGGACACGCTAGTCAGGTAGTTGCGGAGAGATCAGAAGAAGGAAATGCGCCACAGAAGTACTGTGAGTCCAGTTCAGACAGCGTGTTCTGAGGACTTCTCAGGGCACCGAAAGGAGCCCTGTGTTGGTGTGGCTGGCATGGGCTCCGGGCCTTGGCAGGAGCACAGAAGAGCTTGTCTGTTCCCTCACGGCTCTGTGCTTGTCACTTACCACACATGGCCGTCTCCGTGCCCCCCATTTGCCCGTGGGCTGGAAGTCCTCTTCCACTTGGCCTTGGAAAGGCCAAGTTACAGTCAGAGCTCAGACACACACATCATCACACCAAACTTTCCTTCATTGGAGTAATTTCTCTTAAATGGCACTTAGCAAGCCTGTACCCCTACTGAAGGTTTCCAGTCCGAAGTCTGCAGCCTTCAGCCTCTGAACGTACAGGGTAGACTGCGTTCAGAGAGGCATGTGGCATACCCGAGAGGGCGGGAGCTTCGGCTTCAGTCACAGCCTGGCCGCACCCCGATGTCCGTCCTTACGCTGCCAGTGACGGACACGTGGTCTGTTTTCAGCAGCTAGCTGCAGTGAGATCCACTTACAGCAACCCCATCGAATGTCACCCTCATCCTGGATTATGACGGGGATATCCGAGTCCAGTGAAGACTTATTAAGGTGCCGTGTAACTCACTTGTAAGAAAGTCTCAGATTTTGGGGGACCTCCCCGACTTTCCTTGGATTTGTTGTAAGGAGATTTCACTGCCCTCACTCAGACTAATTTCTGCTTCAGAAAGAACTGAATGTGACGTGTTGCATTCAGTTGTAGCATCCAGATCACATCTGGTCATTGCTAGAGAGGAAGAGCTGTGTTCTCTCCCACGCATGCAGTGTTGGGTGTTAAAATGGAAGCTTACGGTTGTGTTTTAAGTATTATTCATTAAAACCAGCTTCAGAAAACAAGACGCCATCATAAATTGGGAATAACATCTTCTCCTTTCTTCAGGGTGGCTGTAATTCCAGCTGGCTGCGATTTCTCTCTGCTCCCACCACCCCTCCTTCGCTAAACCCATGTATTCAGTGTTCTGATCGCGTTGGCACAGAGACGACTCTGATGCCTGACGCTCTTGTTTCCTGGGAGCTCCCAAGCCCACAGGTGCTAGGGAACTGCCAGCAGTAGCTTCAGGACTGCATGCAGTGAGGTCGTTAGGAAAACCGAGAATTCCAAATATCTGTCTTTTCCCAAGTAGCTACTGAACTGCTGATGCCATCTAGAGACTTCCTATTTTTATATATGTTATTATTATAAAGAAGAAAGCCGAGGAGCAATCCTTTACAGTTAGTCAGAGCCCAGTATTAACCCACGGTAGAGATGGGCTTTATATATATTCAGCCAAATAGCAAATGGGATTTTTTGAAAAATGTGGTAACTAGGAAGTTCA